TTAGGGCGGTTGATAGAACTTAGGGCCTTCTAATGTGATGGAAAGCAGGATAGTTAAGTTTTCCACAATAACATGAACAGCGTGGTTCAGGATACCATAAACTTTTGCATATTTTTCATATATAAGAAGAATTTCGAGACTACCAGTAAATCAGCTTCCGTTGGGAGGACTCGATTTTTATAGCAAAACTAAGTTTGCTTCATCGACAATCCCACCAAAGTATGTGATATAGGAAAGGGCTTGGCCCTCCTTGAAATTCACATCTGCCCTATGACTCAGGGGTACTCGTGGTAGTCGAATTTTCATACAATGATATGAGTAGAGCCGACGTTTCTATTAAATCTCACAGGGCCTTGCTTTCCCAAAAGGTGTTCTCATCTCGGCTGGAGTGGATTGCAGTTTCGACCTCTCATCGGCCTTATCAACACCCTTAGCGGTAGTCGAACCGTGACAGTACAGCATGTGAGCTTGACACGCTAACCACTTAGCCACATTGCCACGAGTTCCTTTGGCCACAGGCGAAATGTGAGTTTAAGTGAAGACCAGACATTTTCCCATATCACATCTCATATAACTATCCTCCTATACTCAGCTTAAATGATGAAGGCCAAATTGAGTTATCATTCATTATCTGCTGTTTATTTTATAGGCTACTCACTATGGTAAGAGTAACGTTAATGAGCGTAGTGGCAATTTCAAGTTTACCATGCTGATAAAGTAGTCCACAAGAAATATGAATAGGATAGGGCTTGGCTTGCCCGAAAGTGACCCCTGGAAATAGTGGCTCTATGGCAGGGTGTGAACGTCGTCTCTTGATGTTCCTGAGCCGCTTTGACTGCTGTTGGGTTGCTTAGACGACCCAGGCGTATATGAGGTCTCATCAGCACCCCCAACAGGCCTGGAAACCGGTCGTGGGTATGGTGGTCACGTTACCACTCTACTACACAGCCAAGTGTGACAGTGGTTCTGAGGTAAAATGTGAAATTAAAGGCAAGCTAGACCCTTCCGAAATCACACTTTATAGTGTGATTGCCAATTAAGCAATCATGTCTCTGTCATTTTCATAGACAACGTTACTTATATCAGATATGAGTAGTTTTCAAGACTACCAGTAATTGCTGGTGATGCTGAACCTTAGATGAGATATCCTTTGAACAATTAAAATAGTTAAAATTCATTGGGATCCTCAATTATACTAATCTGATTGTGGGAAAAGTCAATAATAAATACTTAAATCACTTTAGATGATATAGATTTACTAAGTTCCTTTTCAAGAATGACTGAAAGTCTCAAAAACTACTCACATTAAAAATAATTTTGAAAAGAAGTGGTTATATTTCGTTTCCACAACTTGATCGAGATTTCGCGTGGTCTAGATGAACGCATCTTGTCCGCAATCTTCTGTCATAGTATTCTTGCTAATGTGTAGCGTCGGAATTTGGAATTGGTATATCCCCATACGTTTCGCCGGCTTCAGAGTTGGCATAGTAGATAAGCCTTTCAACGCTTAGCGAAAAACTACAATTCTTTAGAGTAAACCTATAAGTTGGGATAGCCATGGGATAAATGAATGTACCAGGACAGCCTGTTCAGCGGAAAGTTGGTCAAGGAGAGGACTCTATATGTCTCTTTGACGAATTCTAGTTTGGGGATATAAATGGCCATGCACCAAATCGGAGTTCCAACTCTGGAAGGTAGTATGGCTACTATGGCAGAGGATCCCGGTAAAGGTGCACTCATCTAGGTCCCCTTGACAACAGGACAGTTGTGAAAATGGGAGACGACCATTTATCTGCAGACCACGATCATATTTGTGGCCACATCATCTCTTGGATAGTTCCGTTAAGTGTGTGAAAGGATGCCTTTAATTTTAAGAAAGAAGAAGGTATAAAGGCTGGCCGTATGCTCTTTCACTCATGTCGCCAGCCACAACTGCAGGAAACTCTTTCCTCAGCTCCGAAAGAAGCCAATTTTTACAACTTTCTGAACGAAATTAAGAGCCAAACAACATAAAATTATAGATACAAAGAGAAAGTTGGTTTTGATGACTCTCTTGAGATAATATTGTTCGTATGAAAGTGCATGAAGAAGAGATTCGTAGGTCGACCTTACGAGAAGAGAACGGATGAATCCCGTTGTACTTCAGCCGTTTGGCTTCTTCTTCATGCACTTTCATATGAAATGAAAGTCCCCCCCCAACAACATGAAATTATTAAAGACTCTTTGAATTCCTCCTATTCATCGGATATGCATTAAGTTTACCAATTATCAAAGCTTAGAGTTATTTTTAAATACTGAGAAATGTGCTCTTTACAAATGGCCATCCATTCCACTTCTATCTAAATAAATGATAATCTGTAAATTGCCTAAAGCGAACCTTGACATGCATTTAGCAATAACTTTGTTTTTTCGTTTAATATTCCTTGTTGTTAAGGTTGTTCTGCTGTACACTTTCTTTTCGCTTTTCTTTGCGGTCTACAGGCCTTGATCAAGCATATAAAACTAACAACTACCCCAATTTTACGTTTTATTGAAAGCTGCCCCGCGGAACGGTGGTCACTTTAACCTTTTACAAATTCTTGCACTACATCGCATCCTCATGCATAATTTCAGGATCATAATTTTTTGTTGAATTGTACGATTCCCTTCCTCTAGCCGGACCTAACGACATGTACACCGACTACGTGGCCACTCGATGGTATCGAGCACCTGAGCTGCTGGTTGGTGACACTCATTACGGCCTACCCGTCGACATTTGGGCGGTAGGATGCGTGTTTGCCGAGATGCTTTTGGGAAGACCTCTTTGGCCGGGCAGATCAGATCTCAATCAGCTGCACCTCATCACTCAGAGTTTGGGTGAGCTTTCGTGAATTGCCAAGGCAGCAAAAGTAGAAGGCAATAGTTAAAAAAGGACGAGTCCATCCCTAACAGGCTATAGATGATGGGCCCTAAATTGCAACTTGTTGCCCACGCGACTCGTCCGGATAAGGAAGTGGTTAAGGCAGAATTGTAATGGTGTTAGTAGAATGACTTTGGAGATAACCAAAATATACGAAGAAAAGTTGGGTTTCGAGGAATCTCTTGTTTCATTATTGTTGAGCTTACTTCCGTTTCGAGTGGAAGTGTTGAGTGAAGAGATTCGAAGGTCGGTTTCACCAGAAGACAACGGTGGATTCCTCTTGACCAGCTGTCGATTGGCTTTACTGGAAGATTCATGCTGACGCTGTTTTCGAGG